TACATATAGTGCCTATGTGTAAATGCTCTCAACTGCAATATGAAAATTGTTTTTTATATCCTTCAGATCCAGCACTGTCGGCGATGTATATTTTTACGGGCATCATTGTACTTCTCTCTATATGCTTATTCTTTTGCGTGTGTTGTTGTAAACGTGGTGGAAATACTCAACTAGCAGCCACGAGTCGCATTAGGACGATTTCCGGCGGAGATAATATTGGCCTTTCTCCACATTCACCTTTGCCTCAAGACAGCTTTTCCCCGCCGTCGTACTCAACAGCCGTCCGCCCGGACCATTCGTGGACCGACGATAATGTTACACATTTGTCGAACTCAACACTTCCACAGTCTCCTCCGTCATATGATGAGGTCTTGAAGGACAAGGGTCAGCACATACAAGATGTCCAACCGACAGGTCGACAGAGACCTACATTGAGGTTGATTATACCGGACGATCATAATATTCCAACAGATTTAGAAGGATCAGAAGGGCACACAAATTTAGGTCTACAATCTGAATAAAAATAATACTAATTTATAATTAATTTTATTTTCCTCACACGAGATGGTAGTTAACTAAACAACATATGACGAGGTTCCCTGGCGAGAAGCAAATTGAATGTTCTTAATAGAACTATTGAGTTTGTCACAACAGCACTAATTACATAGTCAGTCAATAAATAAATAAATAAATAAATAAATAAATAAATAAATATATCTATCAATCAACAAAGAATATGTCTTAATGTGCTCTTAAAGAAATTTTGAAACGGCCTATAGATTTAAAATAGAAAAAAAAAAACAATATTAAAATTATTACCTTTTAACTGAAAATTCGAACGAGTACAATAACAGAATTATTACCCTTAAATTTCTGGTTAAAAATATTTGTAATAATAATAGTGCGCATTTGTATAGTGCCATCCATCAAACAAGCCGCGTCGCTCATGGCGATAAATGCGTGGACTCGTTCACCTCTAGTCTCTCTCGACAGGGGCTGTCTGTACCAGTAGACCGGGGTATCCATCTACTCGTCTCGAATGTTAAAACTGATTTGTTTTCGCACTGTGAAGTATTGAAAGTAACTTACTTGGTTCGTTTAAAGTTTTATTTTAAGTGTTTGAGGTTTTATTTAATTGAATCTTTGGATGACAGTATATCCTCTCAGCAGATTTAGGTATGTAAATCAGTATAAACGGAATTGAAAGTTGTTTTTTTTTCATTTTCATTTAGTTGATAACATTTTGTGATTAATGAATACTACCCTTTTCATCAATATTTTATCGGTCACATTGAAAAATACATTTGAATTCAAGTGCGCACAAGCGGAACCTGTTAAATGTTTGCAATGTTTTGTACATACAGTATATTTAATAATATAATAAGGCTTATAATAAGTATAAATATTGTTTGATTTAATATAAATCATTATATGTATATTTTTTTGTAAGAAAAGGAACTCTGTAGACCTAAAATTATTGATGTACATGCGTCACTAGAGGGTGTGGCGAAATTTATGTTTTTAAGAATAATAGAAGATATTCAAAATTAAAATAGTAAAAAAAAAAACAGATAATCAAAATGACTTGTTGTACCATGTTGTCATTTATTACTATCAGTGGCGAATCCAGCAATTCGAAATAGAGGGGCCCAAGGAAGGACTTTAACAGACAGAATGTCAATACTAATTTATGATTATGGCAACTCTGGATGGTCGGAAATGGCACTCTCAGACTTAAATTGTATTTTATTTTTTTACTACATTTGTTTTATAATTTTGAAACAAGTATCACATACATCCCGGGTGCTGAAGTGTTTGATGATGTGGCTTGATGGTTACGATACTTGATTTTTTAATCTCAAACGCACGTTGAGAGTCGCACCAACCGCTATTAAGTTCAAACTGTTAAGATTTCAACGATGAGAAAAAAAAATAGTGCTGAAAGTAGACAGATTCATCACTCAAATTCATTGTATGAGATAATTTAATGCCAACTAACTTGACAAAGAACATCTTTTTGTTCCAGATGGTATAAAAAATAATTCCGAAGTGAAATAGACTGCTTGATCCTGGTTGATAACCAAAAGTTTAATAAAAAGAGAAAAAACTATTTATAGTATTTAAAATATGAACGAAGCGGTCGGTATGAGGACTACGAAAGTTGCTAAATTTATTAAAAATGCAGTTCACCTTGAATAAATGCATAGCTTCTACTATATTAATCTATACACTGCATATACAAAAGTGCTATAAATAGATTGCACCAAGCATTTCTGCTGATTCCCACCGTTGCCTGTTGAACATAACGTTATAAACTGAAGAGGGCATTACTATCGACAGCTCAAAGATACCGCTTCTTGTATATAATATTAATAAACTTTTCATAATTATTTCTTTAGTAATACAGATCTTCTTGTTGTTGGAAAACGTATTGTATATTGTTTTTAAAAATGTCTTTAGCCCACTGGTCACTGATTTTTGAACGATGATACGTTTATTCTGGCATTGGAGCTATCACTCTGTTTATAAAGTCTGAAAATAAAGAATCAAAATTGTAATAACAATAAAAAGTTTTTTCGTCATGTTTGCACACGCATACCCACACTTTGAGGTAGACAATAGACTTCGTATTTCTCCTTAGAAACAACCGAACACTTCCAGGGTATGAGAGAACGTTCTCTTTTAACTTCTTAATAACAAAAGGAATAATACGGTGCGGAGAACACACTGTAATCGTAATAAAGGAGTATCACTTAATGCAAAAATTAAGAGATATTAAAGAAAGGTAGAAACCAAGAAGTCGGCTAAACGTATTCCTGAGTGTAGAATAATGCGTTCTGATTGGTCGGCTCTTACATTGATTGAACTGGCGTCGCTAGCACTGTTATACAGCAAGAATGAAGGTTTACTAACTTCAACTCCACTGCAGTTTATGGTGAAGGATTAGACCAGGTGTAACAGCGTATGAGATGGCCTATTAGCAACATTAAGGGAAAATATAATTCTGTCACTACCAAAATGAGCATTTTATGCCTGCCAAATTCTTTTGGGGATGGGGGTGTCAGGGAAAAGCAACAAAATTGACCAACCTTCATAACTGATTTCACCTTCAGAGTTCTCTAAGCCAGCAAGTAAACACTCAACTTCTTCGTCCTTTAGTTTCTCACCTGAAAATTATCGTCCGATACCGATGACGTTATATTGGTAATATAATATAATACAATAATTACAATTTCAGTGCATGCATAGAGACCTCCAAGTCAGCCTAACTGAATATTATTATTGTTATTAATTGTTATCATCATATATTCGGCATCACATCATGAAAAAAAAAATACCAACGATTACTTCTCTTCATTGTATTGGTTAGAGTGGTAGAATCGTAATTATTTTACAGTGAATTGTTAGGCGGGAAACTATTCAGACAAATCTCATTGGAGCATTGTCCGACAACCTTACCGAGTGATGTGAGGATTCGGCGCAACTCAGCTCCTGTGATGATGCCGTTACCTTCCTTGTCAAATACACGCATACACTCCATGTAATCCTCGGCAACACCCTGGTCTTTGCTCTTTGCCAAATCTTGGAGCTGTGCCAAGAAATCCTCGAATGTTATGCGGGTATCTTGCAAAGTAATGGAAAACAGTCATGATATATATATACCCCCAAATTAAAGACCACCTTCTGTGGTTCTATAACAAAATGTATTTTATCTTTATTATTCTCATTAGTGCCAACAACCAATAAAGACCATGCAAACGCCGGTCCCAAAAGTGTTTTTAAGTTAAAACCCGCAGACACATTGTCTAGGTTCTTTAGGATGCAGCGGGAGTAGCTGCTGATCCCCATTAGGGCTGCACCCTTACACATCGCCGGAAAATGTCAGACCTCGGTCGGACCATACTGGATACAGGCCTCAGTTTTTCCAAACTATTTTTTATGTTCAAAATCAAAACTCACCCTCATCAGCTTCTTTTCCAATCACTTTATTTATGTCTGCAAGGGTTGGGTTCATTCCAAGTGAGCGGGCGATGTCACCAACTACCAAGGCTGACACTTTGTTATCACCGACGGTGTCAAAAAGTACAAAGCACTCGCGGTACTCTGCAATAAAAAACGGAACAGTCAATATCAGCAACCGGAATTTGTCGAGGCTATACCGAAATTTACCGACACTATAGCCAACTTTGCCGAGCTATATACTAAATAAATGTCTTCTTCTGTCGGTTAATTTTGAATACAATAATTCATTAGCTTACACAGACTACAGACTCATTAAATATTTCCAGGCATTATTTTAAATCATTCCATCATCTAAATCACAATTGTCATGTAAACACGTCAGCTGGCCATATAATATGATTCGATTGGATTTATTGGGAAAAAAAAATTAAAAACAGAATCCACACTGTAAACTTTGCATTTTGATAATTCATACTCAAATAAGATAGGTAGTTCTAAAGAACGTAGGCCTTATGTATAAAAAATGAGTTTCATCCGTCTAATTCCAGATTGATAATTAGCTAAGGATTGACAACTGATCTTCAATATCAATAACAGTTAACGCAAGACGAATTATTTCCAAATATAGTAACGGTAATAGAGCCAGTAGGCTATGTTGACCATGATAGCTAATACTAGGCGCGCGCTCTTAACCAATCAGCGACATGCAAAAAATACTAACTACCCAAAACAAGCACGGGGCGATGAAAAGTTAAAAATCAGCGACCTACCTTCTTTCATGTCCTCATAAAAGTTGAAAGGTAATGATCCCTGTGGGGAAAATAACAATTATGACAAAGGCTGTACACTCGTCGACGTCACGGTACTAAATGTTAAACTTAGGTTTGATGAATGAACTTTACTAGAAATTAACCTTTAAAAACTAAATTCATTATAGCATACCTATTGCCTTATATTTTTCGATATAAGATTTACATACATTCAATGGACAAATAAATGTGTGCATAAACTTACAAACAAGCAATTAAAATTAGGTAAAGTTTAATTAGAATGACGTAAGCCTAGTTCACACTGAGCAACATAGACGATTTCACCTAAAAATGAGCGCAATAACGCTACTATATGCCCAGTATAGTTGCTTGCTCTAGTGTGAACCTGCCCTAACAAGGGCTAGTTTTAAAATAGTATGTAAACTAGAGTAAAGACAAATGTTTAGAGGCTACCAATATAATCGTCTTGATGTATGGCCAATAATGTATAGGCCAGTATATAATTGTACCAATTTAGAAACACTTTAGTACATGTACTTTTATATAAACCTAACACTATTGCTATTATATATATATATATATATATATATATATANNNTAATTTGTAAGTATTAGTACGATAATTGGTCAGTTTATAATATACGAAAGGAAGCTATTTTTAAGTTGTAAACAAAATTGTTTCAGTTGTTTCATAAATTTAAAACGGTTACACAGTCATGTGGATGATATATTTTCGAAATTAACTATGTTTATAATAAACTATCTAATATTAGTAATAACAAATACTGTATAAGTAAACAAGGCGCATTAGGCCAATAGTTCGAAAAGAAATCTAAAGAAAAAAACAAAAAATCCTGAAAACAAACAGTAATAGCCTATACAGAATATGGCATATTGTACTTACCATTTTTTCTGATGTTCTTTACAAAACAAATCTAAAAAAATCCCACAAGCTTCAGTACTCCAGCCAAGGACCCGACTAACAGAAAGAGCAACTCACCAAGTACAGGCCAACAACTATCACAGTCGGGAGTGAGCTGATGACGTCAGAAGGATGTTAGCAATGTACGGAATTCGGCAGCGTGCCCGGGAATGTCCCGTTATGGAATAGGCGAACCCTGGGACATGCTCGGTCGTGTTGTAGCATCCGATAATGAATGTGCGTTAGATTGATTGATTAGTTATTTTCTAGCGATCGTAATTTTGACAGATCCGTTTAATGACGACTTATTTTCCAAAATTCCCGAACAATTTTTTATGATCGTACATATGATTTCATCAACAAACATAATATACTTTATTGTAAACAATTTGGTTTCCGTAAACATCTATTCTACATCATATACCTTAATTTATATTATTAACAAAATTTCAGATTCAGTCGAAAATAAAGTCATTTCTGGTGGAGTATCTTTCCAAGGCATTTGATAGGCCTACCGTTAACAACGACATCCTTATCTCCAAACTTTTTAATTATGGTATCTACGGAACCTCCCTCGACCTATTTATTAAAAGATAATCTTAGTATTATCGGTATCAAAATTTAACATTTTACCTTTATTTATGCCGATGATACTACTATCTTCTATTCTGATCATAACCATGATTCTCTTTTAGCTTTTATTAATCATGAACTGAAAAAGTATAGCGGAATACTTTCATGTTAACTTTCTATTAATAGGCCTACAGTACTAAGAAATGCACAAAATAAGACGCGATGATCTTGAATTAAATAAAATCGGAGACCAATTTATCTCCGGTGTTGAACACACTAAATTTGTAGGCGTTTACTATCGACCATGAATTTAATTTTAAAAAGCAACATTTATACTTCTCTTGTCCTCTCTTTTATTAGATATGTTAACATTGTTGGGCCAATAATTACTATTCTAATCATATCTCAAATTCACAAACTCCAAAAGAAAGTCATTCGTATAATTTCTGGCACCCCTCCTCTTGCTCATTATGATAATTTTTTTCTCTGATTTAAATTGATTAACTATTTATCATATTAATACATTATAGCAATGCATCTTAATTTTTTAAGCATCAATTTCCTTCTACCATCCAATTTTGTTCTTTTTTTTTCAGAACTCTGATTTGCATACATATAACACACACAAGAATTCGTAATAATCTTCGTCTTCCTCAACCTTTACTTTTCTTCAACATAATATACGGTACGTTATAGCTGAATTTAATACGGTACGTTATAGCTGAATTTAATGAGCTCCCGATTGAAATCACCTTGGTCTCCTCCAGGAAAACTTTCTCTAGTAAAGCCAAACAACTTTTTTTTTTAAATCAAAATATTTACTTTTATTATAATTTTATCCATTTATATCTTTCATATTATTATATGATGATTGCATTATTTTCTTCCGCTGTACGTTTTTTTTTATTTTGTTGTATGTGTCTGTGCGTGCGTTTGTCTCTTCTGTCTTTTTTTCCCGGAAGTTTTGCCTACAGATTTGATATTATTCAGGGCACGCTCGCCACAAGAGTGTCAAGTGAGAATTCTTTTCGTTTCTTTACTTGGCGTTTCTTTTTGAACACTGCCCTCTTCCTTTTAATCAGATTCCTTGCCATTTTTGTTATCTTTTGAGCTTTTTTAATTTGAAAATCCTGATTTTATTTTTTTTAATTGTTTGATTTGATTTGGAAGAAATAAATGTTTATTTGAATTGAATGAATGGTTTTCGCTTTTTGAATGCAGACTCAAAAACTTCAAATTCACTCAGCCATAATACATTTCCCCAAAACCTCAATATATTTTGATATACATCGAACTGTGTAGCCCTATCAGGGGTGAACTGTGATTCAAATACAGTGCACTCACCAATTCTAGACCTCTCTAATTCGAGATCTAAGGCGCAAGTAACAGTCTTCAACATTATAACACAAAAGCTAGCCATCTAATTGGAGACCAACCCCGAGACCACCCCATATTTTCAGGGCCCAAAGGTGGTCTCGAATTGGAGGGCGAACTGTAGCTACCGGTCGAGTAAATCTAGGAGCGCTTTTGCCAGAGGGATCGCGCTGGCTTTTAATATGAAGTATTAGTATTTCTGAGAACTTTAGACGCATATTTACATGAGGCGAGTAGGCCTACTATTTAATATATTATGATTCATTCAGTGTTAATATTTCTACTGTTATTTCTAAAAACGGCGCCATACCCCAAAGGCGCATCAGTCCGACGACGGAGTACTGTATTAGTCTCAGACCTACCATGCTGGACCTACTATTACGGCGAACAGGTCAAATTCAGCTGAATAAGCACTAAATCAGATAGGTCTATTAAAAAAAGGAAAAAAGAACATTTAACATCTACACATATGTAGCTATCATTTTAAAGTTTGTACTTTGATATTGATATTTCTTTTTCGTTTTAATGTCCCTAAGCATAACACATTTCTGTATATTTATGTATGAATCAATAAAAGTTCTTGAAGCGTCATAATTCGTGTTATTGTGCTTTTCTTAATTGGTTTCTGGAGTATATGTCACGGAGACAGCAACAAGAGTATTGTATTGCAAAAGCTCATGAATGTTTCGTAGTAGCTGATGTTCGTACGTAGTGACATTCCCAAGGTGTGGTGCATATATGACTTAAGCTGGACACTCACTGCGTCGTCCATCGCACGACGAATCTAACTCCCCTGTCTGTCAATTGTCGTCCGAACGGATAGACTTAAAAACGATCCGTTGCGCGTCCGTCGACGCGTTGCGTTCTTCATATATTCGCACCCGCCAACGACCGTCGCTCGCAGCGAGTGCCCGCCTTTACATAAAAGGAACAGTTAAAAGCAAATAAACCAATGTTCTACTTTCAAGTATGATCTGAGGCATTATAGGCCTAGTTATAGTCTCAGATATGAATATCAAGGAAGACCACGCACCACTCTACAAGTCACTCTCTCCAATGACCTCGTCACTATTATTTTGTCCCTCATCACCTCTGCCACCAAGGCTCAACAATTTCACTCAGAGACACTGCACAAGACAGAAAAGAAATGGAAACAAAATAATCAGAGAAAAGCAAAAACATTCAAGGCGGGGAAGTCAAGCAACTACCTGGCAGATATATGAGTAACTTTATGTTATTTTTTCTTCTTTAGTGTAGGCCTAGTTAATACTGAGAGTTATGACCATTAAATCTGCAACTAGTACTTTAGACAGATGCGCGCGAATGGTAACAAACGATGAGAAGAGCTTTTTTAAAAAATGGTCATCGGTGCTTCCGAGTAGAATGGCGAGCGTGAGATAAATTCAATGGTGTTATTGATCCGAAAGTTGTTTTAATAATGTTTTTAATTAGTAGAGAGGAATCTTGTTGAAGAAATTCAGAAGCACACTGTCAAACTGCTGTATCCGTGATTTGCCGTCCCTGGTAGATTAAAGGCTCAGAAATCTGCCAGCAATAGCTTAGTAGATTTGATTCATTATAAATGGCTTGGATAATGTTCGAATAGATTCATTGTTCTAACTCGGATAGAGATGTTACAATTTCCTACACATAATTTATATGGACAAAAACAAATTATCTGAAATTCTAATACAGTACGTTTATAAATACTGTACCCTTGAAGCCATATTTCCTTGAAAGTTTAGTCCTTTACACAAACTGTCATTTTTGTCACGTCAAAAGAGGTTTCTAAACACAGTAAATTATGAAATATATTCGGCTTGATTTCAACTAATACAGCGATGCTAATACTGTACTTTTCGTACGTTTAGTTTGCATTGTGTAAAGTAATATTAGCATACCTCTCAGAAGCTAGAAAAATAATGTGGACACAAATAATCTTTTCGTAATAATTTAATCCATTTACACATTGCACACGAATGATACAAGACCAAGTGTCTCCCAGTTCGGCAATTGCATATTACAGAACACACTATGCAGCAACGCTGAGAAAGTTTGGCATAGACAAAACGCTTCATCCAAATTCTATTCTTAACAAACAGATGATGTGGAGGTTTAAGGCATTGTATTCGTCACTTGGTTCTTGTCTTTGCTGTGGAAAGCGTTCGAAACTCGTTTGTTCCCAACATACGTGCGTTTATGCACTACCCAATTGGTTGTTTACCTGTTAATAAGGGACCGTCGATTAGAAACATTGATCGCGTCGACATTTCGAACAATCTACACAGCAGGGTTTTGAACTAAGTGGCAAAGAATGTTACTCTGTTATACTGTCCTCTACTGAAATAAACTATATAAAAAAACGGGTCCGTCAATATACAATACAGGGCATAGAAAGGACGTAGACGTGAAGAAATCGTCAAAAAGCGGTGGCGGATCAAGTATGTATGTCAGATCACCGATTGTAAGCCAAGCGATCTTGTCTTAAATAAAGCAAATACATCCAGCTAACCACCGCCAGATATTGCAATCCGCCGACTTTTTTCGTCTGTTAGTGGCCATCCGGTCGTTCAACTTTACTAAATCTAACGTTTTAATACATAAAATATGGCTCATTGTCTATCTCATGGTGGAGAAGTCTAAATAATGGATTCGTCGCCAACACAAACCTTTTATAGTACATGTTGTGGCACAGCCACTTTTGAACACGATAGCACGCGTGTGAACTGTGGCATAACTGACTAGATGGTGGGTGTCGCCATCGAATCGCATTACGTTACGGTATCTAACACATCACTAGTTAAAATTCAACAAAAATCCTACAAGGCCATCAAAATCATAACAATACCAAATGGACGAATATAAACACTCTTTTCAATTATAGAAAAAAAACTGTTTATATTATTTTACACTCTGATATAAACTAGACGACATGAATAGCGTAACAAGAAGAAACGGATACGCATATAGAAAAAGTAAATAATAACACGTGTAATAATATTAATAATATGTATGTTCTGTTTCTACAGATTGTACAGTGAATAAACGATCGTCTACAGTTAGCAGGGCCAACAAAAAAAAATGTTGGCACTTGGCTGTACATATACCAGCAAAGTACATTTAAAAAAACTATTTAAACAATGAATTTTTCGTATAAACATTATAATTAATGTAATAAAATAAGGAAATCAAACTGTAAAAACAAGCTACTACATTGGCATATTGCATAATCATGGACAGTTGACCAGCTCATTGTGAAATGATGGTTAATGGAAATACGATAGACATAAAAAAACAACACAAGAAACTAAATAAAATATGACAACTGCTGTCCCAAAACCATTTCAAATAAATCTTCACACATTATCTAGAATAGGAATTCAATGGGAATAAAATTACAATGGTTTGAAGATTGCCAGACAGAATTAATAAGTATATCTATCATAATCATAAAACTTAAATAGAACTGATTGCTTCTTCAAATATTAGCGAATACAAGTACCTTAGCCAATACATACCATGCTCACGCCACTCTCCATCAGACACACACACACACATTATATATATATATATATATATATATATATATATATATATATATATATCACTTAAAATCTGCAATATTATCAGAGTATTAAATCAATAGAAAATAAATTAAAGTTCTAATCAAATACTTGAGAAGTCTGTCAACGATGAGAATGTTGCAGTGGCTACTAATTAAACAAATAAACATTTTATTTCTTACCATACAATCAACCAATCACAGACGAGTGAAAGAAGACGGAATAAGTAACCACAGACAGAAAGCAGCATACATCCATTAGCCTCACACTACTTCTTGTACTTCCTACATATAGTTTACACACAAGGCTGGTTATTATCCCCTCAATGTTAAAAAAAATATAAAAAATGCTCCCTATATTAATTGACCACAAATGCGGTCTTTTTAATTGACCACAACGGCAGTCTAATATTCAATATTTCATACCTGTGTTTAATTATATACTATGTCTTTGCATCATCTACTAATTAACAAAAGCCTATGATGGGAATTTAGGCTAAACTATCTGTTAAAATGCCCTTATAATAAATTTATATTAACATCTCCATGGGGGAGGGGCTGTGGTTACCAGCTCATGCATATTCATGAGACTAATTATTGTTCTCCAATTTAAACTACAAACTGACGTCAAATGTTGTACTCTTTTTCAAAACCAATAAAGTTCATCACTACAAAGAAACACATATTTCATTTTCCTATGAGATAAAATTTGAAGACACTCACTATTGAAATAGGATGAAGCCCTACAGTCATCACCTATGGTCATCATCTACATGGTCACTAAATAAATCATCTTAAATAATCAAATAGAATTCCATTCAATAATGCAAACCTGTACAGGTAATATCTTTGATGTGACGACGTATATTATCATCATTATACCCACATAACACAACAACCTCCAATTTCGCACAAACTCGATACAACACGTCTGATAGCTGGCTATGTCTACAAAGCCGAATAAAAGACTGGGAGTAACATACGACGATGACAAGGCACAGGCGAATGTTTTGGTATCTGCATACATATATAATTAACTACGATACCTTACAGGAAAATGCACAAAAACTTCTTGGGTTAAAAATAAAACATAAAATATATAAATAAAAAAGCAAATAATGGCCACACACATAATTCACTCGCGCTCTAATACACCTTGGTATAATATAACACGCCCTGAGTTGCCTTTGGGAAACCATGCCTATTATTTCATTAAAGAAACACTTTCTCAAAAATTCATTTTAAAATTTTGATGGAAATTACATCATGGAAGTAATTTAATATTAAATTTATTCAGTTAAAATAAAAATTATTAAATTAATCATTTCAATAACAATAATATTAATAATTTTTAATTATTTAAAGATTGAGATGCACTTAACATTACCACTTAATGGCATTCATTAGTTTGTAAAATGTTTTTGTTAAGTAGATGTATCAGCAAAACGTGTACAACCAATCAAGAAGAAAATTGTGAACAGATAACATGGACAATAATTCATTTTGAAAAATACCAAAAGTGAAAAATCAGAATTTTATAATTTTTTACAAGGTTTCTTGCCGACTACTTAACCAGTGGATACTTTACCATATAGGGAGGGCAGTAATAATTGTAAAATCCATTGAGTGCTAGCCATGATTTTAGTGTATCAGTATTTAGGAAAAAAAAATCAAAGTTATGCAAAAGTACCATTTGTGCTAGCATTGGCTGAATTGCCTTAAACCTCAACATTGCAAACCAAACATTTTAATGCAGACTCTATTATTTCATTGTCATAGATTTTCAGAAACCCTTTTTGAAAATATTGTATATATAAAGTAGGGATTTAAAGGTCACTTAAGATATCACTCCAGTTTCCCTGTAATTGGTATTAATTTTGTATGTATATGTTGAAATTTGTCTGTTACATTATATTTTTGTTACTTGATTGTTTTATTGTTGAATTTGGACCTCTCACTTATGTACTGAAAGATTTTTCCAGAATAAAGAAATATTTGATTTGATGTATTGTATATGAAGATATCAAATAAAGTAAATCAAATTGTGTGTAGAGGTTCCTTCATTGTTCTCAAATCCTTACCAATTCTCATTGCTCAGAAAATTTTAATTTTTAAAAAACTAGAAATTCAAGCAGCATATGAATTTACAGACTAAAGAGGTAAAAAAAATGAATACATTATCCCAAACGACATGTTGCTGCTAGGTAAATACTAGGAGAGCTGTACAATGCTCCAGATTCTAGGTTCCTTAATTTAATATCTAGTAGTAGTATTAGCTGGCTTACATCTCTACTCAAACCCAATACTACTATTCACAGCAAATAGATGACTTAATTTATATTTTTAAAATATGAAAATCAAAGATAAAATGCACTCTCTCATACACTATAATTAAAACAAATGTTGACACATACACCCCAGACAATTACTTTAGGGGTATAAAATATTTCATACATTAATATGAAATACTTAAGGGGTATAATGCAGTAAGGGTGAGCTATTCTGTACTAGGGGTGGGGTAATTTATTACCAGTTGGATTTCCCTCAGGGATTGAGAATTACCCCAAGGAGTGGAAAATCTTGCAAAAGGAGTTAAAATTTTACTCACAATATGTGGAGAATACCTGGCAGGGGTGTGTTATTGCACAGTAGTGATTTTTCTGTGGTTAGGAATAATTCATTTTCCCTATTAATACACCTCACATTTGCTAAGTCGCTATATTTTTTTTTTGTAGGAAATAATTTATATCCCTTAAGTATTTGAGACAATGTACACACTAATTTAAACCCATAAAGTAAAGGATTGCCCTCTATGATACACATGGACATATCTATGGCTTCAAATACATACAAATATACCCACATACAGACACCCCACTCTCTCTTGATACACACACCCACTGTCTCACGCAACACATTGATCATATTTGTATAAGACTACAGGACAGAATTTTCTATTCAACCACTGAATAATGATTGAAATTACAGGTCTCAAATCAAAGTATTTCACATGAACTAAGCCAACAACATCAATACGAGCTGTATATCAAATCAGTTATCTCCATAAAAAAACGAAATACAATAGTAGAATTTCTCAACAAAAGTTCTAATAACTTAAAGAGAAACCTACTTTATAGATTAACATGTAAAATTGACAGAAGAACAGTCGTTAAAATTCATCAAGTACAAATGGTCAGACAGACAAAAAATAAAAGACAAATAAATCAGTCTTGCACTAGAAAACACTATTGCAATTATTCATGTCATTAAATTCTCAATTTCTACAGGCATCTATAACATCAATTAAGAATTATATACTGTACTCAGATAGACAAAAAGCATATGAAACCTGTTTTAAAATTTAATAAAGGAACAATAGATGTGACCAGTGAAAGACGTTAATACAAACACTAATTGTTTACAAAAATAAAACGATTATAAATTAGCAGAATCCGTCTTGTGCAGTAGAAGTTGATAGTTTGTGCTAGATATACTGCGATGCACCCTCTGAGCGTGCTCCGCTGTTGGTAGAAGCGCCCGTATAGTGTATTCCGTAGCCTTGTCATTTCGGTCTGCTATCCCCGGTAAGCCACTGTTACGTTTTGTCCATGTTATTTGGGCTCCCAAGTTGACTACTTCATGTAGCATAGACTCTGCCTCCATTACGGTTGCATCCACAGGGATACCAACTACGTACAGTACATTTAAGTCATCTGAAAATATTACATAAAATTGGTATGAAAATCATAGTAGCAACAGAGTCCTATTGAACTAATAAACTTTAATTATATTTGAATTGGCTAACATTACATTTAAGTTATTAGCTTCTCCAACACACCTAAATAGACCTTAGTCCTTTGATTGGTGAATATGTTATCCTGTGACATTGGGTAATCACACCATTTAATGGCAAAAACAAATGTATAAAAGTGTATAAAATAATTTATAATGAAATAATTGTTATTTGTGTAAAGGAAAAAAATATGACACTACTTGCCCTGATAGTGAGAGGCTGCGGGTTCAAATCCTACCAGAGAAACTTTGTTTCATACAATTAAAAAATGAAATTTTGGTTGAAGGGCTATCTTGATGCAATTATATCATCATACATTCCAAATTGAGCACTGTTTTTTTATAAGGTCTTGTGTTTAACCTTAAAAAAAACAAGTGAGGATTTCTCTTAACAACCAGATAAAACACAACTCAAAAAAACCCTAAAAAACTTGATTATATACAGCATCAAAGTCTTATACTACCTTGGCTCGGATCCTCCTGACTTCCCTGCTCAGAGTGCAGTGTAGCTGAGTGCCTTTGCCTTCCAGTAACACCTGCATTCAAAGTAAACACAAACTACATTAAAGGTGAATTAAAATTGCATTTCCTCCACCCCAACATATTACTAAAGAAGCAATTCCATGCTTTCACAATATCATTAACAAATCAAATGTTTATTTAGCAATAACATAAAAATCCCACTGCTTCCACCATGGAATGAATTGTCCACAATACCAATTGTACATAGGTTAAGTAACAAGAAGCCAAGAATTAAACATATAAAATAAAAAACAGTAAAAAGAAATACCATTCAATACACTGATGCAAAATGTAATCAAGGACCTTCGGTCTAACATTGGTGGGAGCTAAGGTGTGTGGAGAGTATTTTGGGGAAATTCTCTTACCACCTGTGGGAAACTTTGTCTACAATTTCACACCTGGTTAGAGAATTTCAGCTGATGGCAGTGGGACTTTTGCCACCACTTGGATCCAGCACAGAGCATGCCATATGACAATAAATCTAAATAAAACAACTAAAGCAACAAACATACTATTACCATTACAAAATTATGTATTATAATAAAAACAATAATAATAATATAAAATAATTTTGATTAAAAGAAAGTATTAACCTTTTTCTAAGCTGTCTGCTCTGCTTGGACTTGGACTCTGTGCTGGAGACATCGATGGACTTAATGTTGAATGTTGCTCCATGTAGAGAGCAGGCCTAGGTGATCTAATATCGCTGCCTGGGGTGATCCTCTGCTGGTATTGCAACACGGCCTGCTGTGGCGAAGGTGACTTGCTACCCTGAACAGAATGTGAACTGTATTGGCTCCCGCTGTGTGGGGACTGGGGACGGTGTTGCTGGTGCATGTGCACGTAAGCCATGGGCGTCTGGGCTTGTACCTGACTGACTATGGGCGCTGCTAGTATCTGGGAGCCAGGAGAAGTTGACCTGTGAATATCTTGAACATTGTGCGTCTGAAGCTGCGTGGTGTTTGGCGTTGTTTGGTAGACAATCTGGAGATTTGAACCGAAGCCCTGTGGATGTGACGCCTGAGGGTCATATACAGGCTGGTAGAGTATTTGTTGCTGTTGCTGCTGCTGCTGTTGCTGGTGATGCAGGTTGCTGATGGGTATATGCTGGTATCCACCTTGTGTTGGCAAAGGCTGCTGCTGTTGGCCAAGGAGTTGGGGTTGTGTTTGGTATATTACTGGAGTTGTTGTTTGGTGTGTCTGCTGTTGCTGCTGTTGTTGTTGATGTTGGGAACTGAGTTGAGCTGGAGTAAGTGGCTGCATGGTTAGACCTTGCTGTTGCTGGACAAACTGTGCAGGTACCTGGTAGGTTATTTGAGTCTGTGTCACCTGTGGTTGATTCTGATTTGGTGGACAAAATAAAACCTGAGGATGACACAAAAACACACACATTCCTTACACTATTCTTTTGATATATTATTATGAACTACTAAATACATATTGCTGAATATATAATTATTGTTATTCATTCATATATTTATTAAAATTTGATGGTACACTCTTAAGCCTCACTCGGACAGTGTTGAACAACTCAGCCTGACATGACGATAAATTGTGTAGGGCTGTGTGTTTGAAATTGCCTGTGTGTGATATTATATAAAATATCCCTTAACAAGTCTTTGACATACGTACTTCCATTCCTGCAGACATCGGAAAGTCAAAGATCAGGACATATCAATGCGTTCAGTTTTATGAGGAAGGCAATCAGAGAAATATTTGACCACTGTAGATAGTTGGCTGGTACAAGTTGTATACTAAACCTATCCAATTCCTTTCTCACCTGTGGGGGTTGCTGTTGTTGGGTGGGTGCCCCACCTGGTGTACCTGTCCCCTGCACCTGGAATCCTGACATGACACCTGGATGTCGAACTACCTGTCCTACCATTTGTTGTTGATGCATGACTTGCTGCTGCTGCTGTTGCTGTTGTTGATTTGGATCACTTTCATTGGAAGGTTGTCTGTTGATGTTCATGGTTTGGAGTTGCACTGTGACATCTGGATACTCCTATTAAAACCAACAGTAAAGAATAAGAACTGCGGTAACACTATTATCACTGATATGCCATGGCATGGCTTTCTTCAATATGAAACAGAAATCACTGGGGTCATCCTGGTGGTGGTCATGGTTCACAAAACACAGTGTCTACCACCTCATTAGCGGATTGAGCTCCAGTATGCTGCTCAAAAGAAACTGCTCTCCACATTATCATTACTCGTTAGGCACCGGTAGCTTTTGCCTAGGATAAGCCTGCAGCTCTACTAATATACGCACTGCTTAGGTGGAGATGTTGCCCCAAGTTAGGAAGAACACCTCCTCAGGTTAAACAAAATTGACTAATAACTAGCTTAACTAAGAGAACACTGTAGAATTTAAAAGTATACAGTCTTTGTTAAAATATACAACAGTGGCAGATTCAAGGGATTCATTTTAAGTCTCAGAGTGCAATTTCCCGTGCCATAATTGTGCATTCCTGTATCCGCCACTGTAGAAAGTGCCTCAAACAAGCAAAAAAAAAAACAAAAAAAAAACAAAAAAAAAAACACCTCTGCATAGTTAAAAGGATTACACAAATTATCAACTACCAAATGAGAAAGGTTAACTTACCCCTGAGGTCTGATGAGGTAGTTGGTGTAATAAGACCGGTTGGGTACCATAAACCTGCGAGGGTATATGTTGACTGGGAGCTGTTATTTGTTGGTTTAAATGCTGCTGATTTTGTAATTGGTTGATGTTCATTGGTGCTGCTGTTTGGAGAGATTGTTGCATCTGACCTTGGTTCACTATCTGTTGATGTAGTTGCACTTGTTGTAGGTTTTGGTTTGTGATTGGCTGATTTGCTGTCACCTGACTACTCATACCAGGGTGGTACACAAGGGGTGTGCCATCTTGGTTCTGGTAAGGTGACCCTGTTGGTGTAAAATTAGTTTCAGTATTCATAAATTCATTCAACTAGAGAAACAGACTTTGCAGCAGCCTTGCTTGGGCAAAGACCATCTTTTTTTCTTTGACATAATCTTGTGACAGGAAACAACAGCTAAGCTAACCTGAGGTTTAAAAGCACTAAGACACCTAATAGAGTTTGTTGTGCAGTCTGTAAGTTCATCATGACTGTCATTTTTCAGATTCCCCCAATGTCAATGCTGATGTTAATTGTGGTAGTAATATGAAAAGCAATGTAGGCAAAGACCCTCCACACTTCAACCCCACAGAGATATACAGGTCTCCGTCTAATTAAAGATTTATTTATTTATTTATTCTTTCTTTATACTTTCAGTACTATTACACTGATTTTCAAAGTGGTACAGTTTACAGTACAATATAAAGAATTCTTTAACAAAAAGTAATTAGAATGTAAAAAAAAACACAAAAATAAAAAAGATCACTTTTCTGTGGTCCCCTAATAACAAATGTCTTTCATCCTTATTATTCTAGTTAGAGGCCAAAGCTGCTAAACACCAAGGAAACCCCCAGTCCCAAAACTGGAATTCGAGGGAGACCTATGTATTAATATTCAATTATGAGATTGTTTGTAAGCACTATAAATACAACCACAGACATGCACAAATATGTACGTCCTTCCTACCTCTACACTTAGCCATGCATCTACACATTTATAAATACAGTACTGCTCTAAGGTATGACAACTAATATAGCATGGGCATGCTCACAAGAGTACAAAACACGCACAGGACATAGGCACAACCACCCTACCTGTGTGTGGATTATACAGAATGCTACCAGCCGGAACCGACTCTATACTGGGAGCGCTATATAATATGGTGGGCGAGGAAATATTACCAGGGGTGATCATACCGGAGTTGGCTGGCATCTGCTGCTGGGAGTGGCCGGTAATGTTACTATGTTGCCATGATGATACTTGTGCCATAGGCTGCACTGGCTGATAAGTTATTTGATGACCTGGTTGTGATATAAACGGCTGGCTGAACACGGGAAACTGAGGTGACGGACGATACTGTGGACTCCCTGTCCTTTGTTCGCTAGAATCTGAAAGGCAAACAATTTTAAATTAAATATATTTGGATTTTATAAAATTCTGAATTAATGCAATGAGAAAAATCTCTCTAATTTTCTTTAATTTAGCACGCCCTCTATCGTATAAACTATTACAATTTTCCAGTTGGAGTATAGCAGAAAAGCAACATAAACACCATTACTACATGTTAAATACTGTACTACATGTTTATTAATGCAGGTTTACAGAGGTTGCTACTATAGCGATTGAGATTGTTAGATGATAGTTTACTTGAGTAAAAGAGGAACAAAAAAGGAACAAAAACTTACACACATACAACATTACGAGGTCTAACGTTACTGAATGTGGTGGAAGATGTTTAGATGAGTGGTGTTAATGATATACCAAGTGTACTGTGTTAGTTTACACACAAGCCAAGCATACGCTATGTTATATGCATTTTAAAAGCAGAGTTAACACTAAACATAATGAAAAAACTAAGATAAAAGATAAAAGGCAGGAAAAGATGTAGATGAATAATTTTGAATAATAAGTCACAAGAAATTTGTCAGATAAAGAGAGAATGAGTAGGAAAATCAAAACTGTAAAATAAGACCACAAAACATAAAAAACAAAGGAAATAAGCAGAATAAAACAGGGGAGATGAAAGGAGAGAGTAGGAATAGAAAGAGAGTAAAAGGAGAAGGGGGAAATTGGAACAAATAAAATATTTTAGTATTGTTATTGTTAGGATTACTATCAAATGTTTACAAATATTAGCAAACTAAAAGTTAGTTTTATAAATAGATAAGGTACAGTTACATTATTTGTTGCTAAACAAATTACCGTAATACATAACTAAAAAATTAATACTGTATTTAATTAGTATTCTAATTTTAACTAAGAGACATTGAACTACTTGCATTTCATTAGCTATTGTCTATGGCACCCCTAGGTGACTGGAAATGGCACCTTCTAAATTAAATTTTTTTTCTCTTTGTACAGTATTACCCAAATTTTTAAAAAAGTTTGAGGTACACACTAGCTTTCCCCCCACCCACCCCATCTTGAATCTGCCTACGTGAACAAATTTGTCCACAACCATCGAGGAAATGATTTACAATCAAGCATAACTAGTGTTTTGTACATGCTAAAAATCGAAATGAATTTTGCACAAAAAAACAAACAATTAGGTTGTAAGATATGAAATTCAACCTTGAACCACCCACACTTTGGCGTGGTTGCAAGGTGTGTGGGAGTAAAATAATGTCACAACGTGCCTGGAGATGTTATATTTTCTTTAATATATTATACTTGTGTATTTTGGATGGAGTGTAAAAAGTGCAAGAGCACATATGTAACAATATATCATCATCAAAATGGAAAGGTAAGGGTAAGAAAACACATATCCGATCAAATAAAAAATGTAATAATTCAGAGAGCTTCATAAACATCAACTGTAAATATGTGTCAAGCTCCTTCGCTGACATTATTATCAATCATAATTCACAGAGTATGACGCACAAGTTATTGTTGATGCTGTGGCTTCAAGTGTTTTTGTCCTAGAATCATAATCTATATCAGATAAATAATATTTTCTGTAATAATAACATAAAAAAAATGATATGCCTACAATAATATTTATTTAATTAATATATTAATAATATAATAGTATTGGTAATAATAAAAATATTAGAAGAAATGAGTTGGTAAGTTCACTTTTATGACTAACAATTATAACACCACTAACTCAATAAATATATTAACTCTTTAAAAAATGTTTATACTGTATGATGGCAGGTATAAGCTTGTTCTTTTAATATAATCAAACAATCAAGAGTTCTGTGGGAGGGCATAGCATAGGCCTAGCTAAGTTTAAGTGCAGCTACACTAGCCTGCTGTATGTTGTTCTCTGTTGAACCAAGTTGTGCACATTGACAAATATATCTTGTATCTTGTATTTTCTAGTCCCAAGTTAAAAGTACACACCACAAACCCAGCCCATTTTCTGGTCAAGGGGATGGGCTTATAGCTGGATCAGTATGACTGGCATAGTTATATTATTATATAAATATAAAATTACTGGTATTTTAAAGATGATGATAATGATGATGATATGATGAAGATAATGATGATATGATGGTGATGATGATGATAAATGATTTTGTAAATAACCAATTTTACAAATACTTTCATAAAGCATTAAGAAAGAACTGCATATAGTACCAGAGAACATTATATATTCCTTATACTATAATAATATAAGAATATATAGATCACCTTTTTAACTAAGATAAAACAATTACAGTTCAGTAATAATAACAATAATACAGTAAAATACCATCACCAAGTCAACCTGCAATGCAAACTACATTACACTGTATACACCATTAATATCACCATAGCTAACCTCATAGTACACTAAACTAAACAATATACCATTACAGACTAATTGACAACATTAACAAAGAGCATTAGCATTAACACACAACACTAACATGAGATGAGAATGCCATCATGAGATGAGAACACTAACATGAGATGAGAATGCCATCATGAGATGAGAACACTAATATGATATAAGAACAAGAATAAGACAAGAGCAGAAGACAAAGAACACTATTTAAGACAAGATCGCTAGTGTGAGGAGACAAGTACACCTGCAAGAGATGAGAAAATAATTGATTTCTGAGCACCAACATGAGACAAACACATGAGTAACACCACTAATACGACAGAAGAACATAAGAAAACTAACAGAAGACAAGAATATCAACATGAGATGAGAACACCAATAGAAAATAATAACATGCAAAACACTAGTGTGGTACAAGAACACTAAGATGAGGTGCGAACACTAACATAAGACAATCACAAATACAAGCCAAAAACATGTACATGACACGAGAACAAAAACACAATAAAACTAAAACCTGACAGTATCAACATGTTAGTACCATTAAACCACTATTTATATTATAGAAAAATATATATATATATTATATTATATTATATATAAATACCATATTAAAATTATACATATGTGGTATAAAATGGAATGTGTATCATTTGCTCAATCGCATTTTGGAATGGTTTCCCAACCTTAAGGTCGGGGTTTCAATCCCTTGCTGTACAGATCGCTTGTGTCCTTGAGCAAGGCACTTCATTTGCGTTGCTTCTCTCCACACCGGAGTACACATGGGTACTTAGTGGGGTTACCTGCTACTGTGCCGATATGGCAGCAACACTTTAGCATGTGGACCCAATGACCAGGGAAAACATAGCGCTTCATAACGTAAAGGAAAAGGCACTATATGAATACCAAATTACAAATAAATATCATCCACATATCGTAGTAAAATCTCAGAGCACCCTACATTCAGTCAAACCATTAAATATCTCATTTAAACAGATTCATTAATTTATCAACTTCTAAATAAGGCACAGACCAAAACAATTCATTTTTTTAACAGATTTAAAGACCTTTACCACGAAAATCCTTAAAATCATTACCCTAACGACTTATGTGGTTCATTAAGGTATCTGCATATGAAGCAGAAAACTACAGTTTGAATCCTGGTTAGGTTTAAATATATATTTCCTCATCTTTACTAAGTGCTGATCAGAGGCAGGATGGAAAGTTGATGTAGCAAATCCCCCGTAATCTTATATTGTGTAGGAACAGAAAACCATTATCAGATAATACAGAAGACAATTAATAGTCCTGCATTAAACTAAAATAAAAACTCTTCTCGGAAATGTTCGTTCGTTAAGAATAATCTAGCAAGATCACTCCTACTCGATTTCATTTGAGTGGGATGTGAAAGCGACAAGTGCCCTCAAGGCCTATTGTAAAACTTGTACGATAATCTTGTAATTGCAGCCTACTCGGCACGTCAGTTTGGCAAGGAGTCAGAGCAGAAACTGAATGAAAGGTCAACTACCTAAATTTCACGTAGTTTTGAGAAAGTTTACTTAATACTTAGCACATAGACAATGTACAAGTTTTTACAGAATATTGGGTTTTTAATAAATTATTAAAAAAGATACATTATTAACATTTTATTTTATTTATCTTTGAGTCATATATGAGTGTGTGTGTACAGGTATATTGTAGCATGTTAGACAATTACATTCCAAAGAATATACAAAAAAAAAAAAATTACTCATATTCCCAGGTTATGACAGACAATTATTTACATTGCCCAAGGAAACACATGCAATGTGCTTAACTCTGACTTGAACATATTCCTCAACGCTTCGACCCCCATCTCACTTTGACTGAAAGCAAAAGCATTACTCCTACCGCAGGAAACAAAGGGTGGTGAGTATTCTAAGGATGGGTGAAAACATTAGCAAACTTTACATAATAAAAGTTGATCTTCAGGATGGGGAAGAAGTTAATAAAGGTGGGTGGAGGGCTATGAAATTAGCGTTAGACTGGGTTGGAAAATTCAAGGCTGGGTGGCCATGCCCACCTTTGTCCACCATAAACACATTCCTGCCTACAGGACTACACCACCATTTATACATGTGTATATATGTACCACACAACTGCATTCTCTATTTTAAATGGTATTTATCTTTTGTCTTCTTAGTTTTGTTGAGGACCCCATTAGGTCTTCATGGGGTAGATAGTATAATATGCCTGCTTTTATATAGCACATCATGCCAACAAGGCATCTGTGCACCTCACAGTATTGCCCTCAGTCACATGATCAACCACCTTTAGAACACAAATGCAGCTTTCACGAAAGAATCACGTAATTTCATTGAATTGATTTTCGAACTCAGCGGATTCTACTGTCAAATTTGTGTTACTTTGTAATGTTCTCATGTAAACTAAACCAAACCAAAGGGTTGCTATCTGCATTTCTATTTATCACATAACCAGATGTACACAGTGAATTATGAGCAGCCAAGTCTTGCACCTTAAACCGCTGGAGAATGGTGCAGTGCTGTTGTTAAATGATAATTATGTCAGTTGTATATAGTGCATTATGCTAACAAGGCCTCTGTGTTTTAGTGTTTGAACTTACCAGGTGGCCCATTATAGGTTATACTTTTAGGTAGAGACCGGTATGTTCAGTGTTTTACCAAGAACACAACCGAAAAGCACAGCGAAGGGTTTCCCAATCATGACTGCTGCACTGCCCATTACCAATAGTGGTCTTTGTCATTTTTAGAGGTTTTTCCTGGTTATTTTTTGGGAGGGATTTTTTTTTTGCCTCATAAATTTATTTGAGGGAGGGGTTTCATAAGCAGAAATTTATTGTTTATTTTTTTGCACACAGAATTCACTTCATTGTGCATTGAATATAACTTAAGTCTTAATCATTTTATTAATCATTTTAATCAACGTACAGACAGAACACTGAAATTGGTTTACAAGAAACATGAACCCAATGTCTATTGATGTTATTCTCTAATGAACAAACCACCCACGATGTTCAACATGCTATTAGACATATAAATATGTTTAATATTAAACACATTTATATTTAAAACTATTAAAGCTATTCTATGAAATAAATTAAACCTAATGATATACAACCTATACAATTTAATAATTAAATTCTAAAATTCATAATCAAGGCCATTAGCATTCAATTAAAATTTAGACTGATTTTTTTCTTCACCAATTACCAGCCCCAACCAAAAAAAAAAAAAAACTGTTATTAAATTGGTTCATAAACCTGAGTTTGGCTGTAATTGATTTAAGGATATTTCTATTCAGTAAATCAGTGAATTAAATTTTTTTTATTTTGTATTGGAACTTATTATTCACTTGTCCAATCAAAACCATAAATTTCTCATTCTGACAGATCAAAACAATATGTAAATTTTTTTTTTACCGATCAACAGATTTTCTATTACAAAAAATCATCATTGATCACTAGCCAATTAATTTTAGGGGCCATCTATTTTTTAAAATAATTTCCATGCCAGTCAAAAAACATACATTGGAAGGGCAAGTTAACAGCGTATGTATGATTTTATAAAAATGACAAAATTATGATCATAATTTTAATGTGTCACAATTAAGGTACCGTATGCACTTTCTTGAATATGATGGAAATATGTCTAAGTGTCTGAACAAATGGGGCATGCCATCTGAAAACCAGCATCAATGGCCAATACAACACAACTGACTTATAATTATTATTCATATTCTCTACATTATAAGCTTTCAAATGATGGTTTATATATTAGAATTGACTTAAGTTATGAGTAATTAAAAGATTATTGCAGCTTCTCTGTACTAAAGCCACATTCCCTTGAGTTTAAGCTGGTTTTGGAATGGCATGACCCAAATGTTTATTTAGGTGTCTGTTAATTTGCGAGGAATAAAAAATTCTTATTCTAATGTTTAACTGAAAGTTAATAACCTTTACTATAAAAAATAAGTATTTAAAATATTGAATTTGATGTTTAAATATATTAGCTCCACAAAGTAAATCAGTAAATAAGCAATATATTGTGTTAATTGAATTTTTCCAGATTTCACGTTAGAATACAGTATATACAACTTTTTTTTATTTTTTATAAATGTTACATCTGTGTGATTCTACGTAGTATCATTTTCCTTAATTACGATGTAATAATTTATCAATGACCGTAAATGAACCGCGATCAGTTATTGATACTGTCCATTGCTCTCATATCAATCTGGATACTTCACCTTCAACTCCTCTTAGTGATTGCAATCACCATGGATTCAAACACCCACACAATATCATTTTATTACTATAGCTATCTCTTTTAGTGGCTAAGATAAGACAGAATATCTCCACCACCTTGTACGAATAATAAAAAAAAACTTTCAATCCATTAAAAACCAAAGCTTTTAATTTATGTGTCAGGCAGGTCCAGTTGATATGGATTATTACAGAAGAATGATTTATTGGAAGACTATCCTAATTTGTACAAATTTAGATCAACCAATCTTTGATTTGGTGGGGAAAAAAAACCAAAACAAGTCCCACGCTTTGGCTAAATAAAAGAATAAAGCACCACACTTGAAATTTAAACACAATATACTATATATAGGGCTTCCTTCAAATAATATAGTCTTGCTTTAAGCCCACTGAAGATATAAAAATTCTAATATGATTAAATAGGCTTGTACACATTTCCTTTTTATTGGACCATGGTGTGAAGCATGATTGAAAATAAATCAATAGAAACTACATTTCATATATATCTCAAACATAGAAGAAAACATATCACAGAAAACTAGAATTTTGTATCTATGGTTACAGTCCAACATACAACACCATCATATGTAATTGTAAGTCAACTAAATATTCATCTAAATTAACAAGAATCATAAGGCTGATAATTTATTAAGCTGGTAATCAATCAATGCAGATAAAGTGCCTTGTTCAAGGACACAAGCGAAATGTACAGTGAGTGATTGAAACCCCGACCTCAAGGTTGGAAACCAAATTGTTCCCGCTTCGGGATTTTTGTGCTAAAAAGTCAGTAAATAAATAAAAACCAAATAGTTTTAAACTGTGCATCATCGGAAGTGGATGACATACTGTAAAACCTCGAACTGAAGACCTGGGCTTCTTTTTGCAAAATTTGGATGGGATTCTTTTCAAGGCTACTTTTGCAAAGTAAAGAGGGGAGGGGCTTCTTTTCAAAATGAATGCTGTAAATTTTGTCAATTTGTACTATGAAACAATACTGTAAGTAAGGCCACTGTAACATCAATCTGTAACATGGAATGTATTTAACTGGCATTAAATTACCAAAAACTACTGTATAACCCCAGCTTGTTTTCAATATATTTTGTTTTTTGAAATTCTTGAATAGTGTATTTACTCTACTACCTCAAAAAGAAGAATATGAATATCTTGAAAAAAGCCCAAGGTATTCGTTTAAATAAGTAATTTAATGTTTCATTAAATTTTTTATGGTGTTTTTTTTTCAGTTTTTACTGCAAATATATCAAACATCCCACACGGTTATATATACAGTATGTTAAAACACCTAATTATTTTTTTTAAACATTATTGATGTTTCAAATTTTTTTTTGTTAGTATGCACTGACCACATCTTCAATAAGTTAAAATTATATAGTAAAAATAAATAATAGAAATTATTAATAAAAATGTCTAATAAATAACTCCTTGTGGAATTTGAAATTGAAATATTTGCTGCTAGGTTTTTTAAACAACACAACAATTTAAATATTGAATACAAATTTCAATCCATGGTTGAACAGAGTTTTAAATTATCACTATCACCAGTGTATCTAGGTTAATTATCAACATAGGTGTCTAAGAGACAATGCTTACATTCTAATTAAATATCTATGGTGCTATTTCCTACTTGTATTTTATCTACTTTGTAAAGCATGAATTTTCCTGTCTAGCACATAGGATAAAGTAACTAAGACTCCTAGACCTCAACTCCACAAAAATAACTTTTCCAACTAGAGAAAATACCTGTAGCGTGATGGTGCTGCGTTGTTGTCACACTAAACCTTAACCTATTCACTTGACTAGCGTGATACATTTCCATACAGTATATCAAAACTAGCCATGGTGAAAGTTAGCTCAATGTAACAGTACTTCACTATGGGATAGGCCTTACTGGCAGTAGTGTGAAGCAGGCAGCATAGCAAGCTCTGGTGGTTCACCCCAGTGGTTCCCAACCCCTGGGGTATGCAAAAAATAATTGAGGATCCACAGGACCTTGTTAAAATGGCATCCTATTGACTTAAGGAGAGGCAAAACTAGAGGATGTGTGTAGAGGTTTGAGATAGGGGCTAACAGTATTCTTAGGTGATTACTACTGAATACACTAAGCACCAACACTAATACAGTGAGCATTCATTAATCAAAAAGGGTATGGTAATATTATGAAAATTATATTTCATTTTTTACTTTAAATTAAACATTCATGGAGCATTATAATTTATGATATTTTTAATTAAAGGGTTTGAGTAGCCCTAAGATAAAAATAAGAGAATGACTAGACCAACTTTATGGAAGTGGACTGTTCGTTGCCAATATTTTGTTTAAATAAAGACTTTCTGATTTATCATTTAGAACTACAATTATATATCAGAAAATCCAATATCTTGATATTTATTATAAAATCATATACCAATACTAAACTATTAATATCATGTTGCATTTTAAAATATATTGTTACAACTAGAATCAACACAAATTTAATTTCTTGGAAAGTTTCACCTTTCCATGGAACCAATAATAAGCGACATTACTATGAAAACTTACTGATAAAAGCCTATTAACAATGCATAGATTTTATTTGAATAAATCATCTATACTTAGCAAGACATACACTATTAAAGTTTTGCCTGTCAGATTAGTGGCAGCGCCAGTGGAATTGGGGGGGGGGGTGAGTGGGTGGGGGAGCAGTTTCTCTTGTCATCTGACACCATAATGAGGTCATTGGGAAAAAAACTATAAATTTATGATCCAAAGAAAGGTGTCTGATTGCCAGTCGCTAATATTGTGGCATATAATTCTGGGGCATCCTAAACCATAAAATCTCTCCCTCCCCCCATGAATCTCACCAAGGATTGTATTCTGGGACCCTGACTGCGACTCTAGGCGGTCCCTTGGTTCAAACTCTCTGTCGGACATGTGGGTCCACTTGGCAGCAAATATTTGGAGTCAACAATGCAAACATTACCTCCTGAATCTGACAGACAATCCAAAAGTGTAAGCTTGGCTGTAGTTTTAAAAAACAGACTTCAGAAAACAGAACTGTCATGGCAGCAAACTCTTAGCAAACGAAACATGAATTGGTTAGGTGCTACATGCAGTTATAGTAAGAACATCAAACAAAAAATAAAATAAAATTATAATAAACATGCAACAAAACTTTTACATGCACTTATCAAGTCAGTCAAACAACTGGGCAGGAAGAATTAAAGGGAAGTTATAGAATTAAAGTATGGGAGGAGTTAAACAACAGGCAAGCACATGTGATTCTAGTTAAAAACGGGATATAAAGTAAATCCTGGCCAACACACCTGGACAACACGGTTGTTCCAAAATAACTGAAACCAAAATGGAAAATAAGAAAATGGTGAAGCACAGAGCAAGAACAAGTGCATCCTCCCTACAAAAAACATTGCATACTTTATGAAAATGGCGGGCAAACTATAGAGGGCGGTCAAACATATCCCAAGGAAATGATAAACAGCAAAAGGTCAAAGGTTAGACATAGTAAGATAATGTGAAATGTACTTAATAAACTAATATTGATTAAAGATGGCAACCCATTAGTGGTTAGGTTAGGTACAGCTGTGCTCATCTGCTATTCTTTGTAAATACACTCGCATTACAGAAAACTCAAGCCATATTATTGTTTTTTAGTTAAAGCTTATTTCTCAACAGTATGGTAGAAAACAGCTTTACTAACTACAGTAAAATAGCATTCTAATGACCTTATATCTTGGTAAGATATTTAAAAAACATTATTGTTATACGGTAACTTGCAAAATTTTGGTTTAAAGCATTTTTTGTGATCTTGTTTTGTGTAATGGCCTGGCTATAATTTAAAAAGTTGATTTTTGTTACATAGAAATTTCTATTTAGCCTAAAAATTATCACTGAAAAAGATACAAGAAATAGATATACAATTTTAACTTATACTGCTAGAGCATAGAAGCTCTAGCAGTATGCGCTATACAAGCACAATGAATATATGAACTGCCAAATAGAAACAAGAATAGACAGTGTAGTAGTTGGGTGTTTAAATTTTGATATGATGGGCAACAGAAGGAGTATAGATAAATGCAACAAGCTAATATAAACAAGAAGTTGTACAGAAACTTTCAGACTAGACTTCAAAAATAACTACAGATTTACTTTATACTTAGCCAAATTTCAACCATTCTTTTCTTATTTTATTTCATTTTCAATTCATTATTCAAGCAAACAACTGGAATAACTGATGTATAAATTACAAGTCTATAGCATTATAATAAAATGTGTTTTCTTGTCAAAAGTGATAAAAAAATAGTATTGAGAGAGAAGATATATGATTTAATGTACTATTTTAGTTGTTGCTATTTAAAAAAACATAATTCAATTATAATATGAATAATAATACTAATAACAATAACAATAATAACTACATAATCAAAAATAATACTGTAATAAACAATAATAATAATAATAATAATAAAAAATAATAAAACAATATAATAAAAAAAATTATGATGATGAAAATTCAGTAACATAAAATGTTACTTTTACTAAGCGGTTTACCAAGGTAAGCATTCACAAAATAAATGTTTTCAAGGTTGGATATAGTTGAAGTCAGTTTGCACTTCACCAACTAATAATAATAATAATATCAAAACAAAAAATGTTCAAAAGCACTGTTCCAGCTAGACCACTAGCATCACTTACCAACTCGTGCCAGCTTTGAAAGACTTCCACGATTACTACTGCCACTACTACTCCAGCTGCTACTGCTGTCTTTCCTGTTAAAGCTATTTCTGTTTGTTACGCCAGCAAAACTGCTAGCCTTAATTATATGTGTGGGATGCTGCCTCTCGGAGCCGCTCGACTCCACGCTGCTCCATGGGCGGTCCTCGAAATAACTCCTCATGGACTCATCGGATGTGCCGGAATCCTGCCTCCTGTTGCTGTTCACTAGTAGCCTATTTGGTCTAGTATGGAAGAAACAATAAAGAAACTATAGTAAGGCATCATGGATTTAACTGGGAATCTAAAAAAAATATGGCCTACTTGAAAGGGGCAAGTCAAGAAGAATAAATGGAAGTAAAAGAGAACAATAAGAACAATAAAAATAACAGTTAAAATCCTAATAATATTGATAATGACAATGATGATAATGCTGATAATAAAAATAATATAGCAGTATTAAAAAAAAATAATAAATACTACTGTGAACAATTCATTCAAATAATTAACATAATAAAAATATAATATGCATATTTTTAATAATAATAATAATAATAATAAAGTAAGAACTTATATAGCGCCTTTTAAAAAACCGAAGTAATTATCAGTGGCGCTTCATGTTATTGTTGGAATAAGTGCGTTTTGAGTGATTTTTTAAATAAAGGAATTGATGCTGATTTTTTAATGTGAAGTGGTAGTGCGTTCC